GAATCTCTCTCTCTCTCTCTCTCTCTCTCTCTCTCTCTCTCTCTTTCTCTCTCCCTCCCTCCCTCCCTCCCTCCCCCCTTCTCTTACTTCAATTCTAAGGTGACTCATGCCTGGGAATGAATATCAACTGGAAAATAAGGCCCCTTCTGTAACCATCCCTGTACTATAAATCAGCTGATCACTTCCCATCTGATCCCATCATGAGAGGATTGAAAGGAAAGGAAAACCAAACAGAAACTTAAGGAGCCTCTAGTTCAGCCTATCTAAGACAAGTTGCCACAAGGCAACTGCTCATTTCCAAGATTTAAACATTTGTTAGAAAGACAAGAGATAAATACAAAACCAAATCATAATACAATTCTAACATAAGATTAATGCAAAATAGATCTGAGCATCAGATGCCAGAAGTTCTACAGTCTTGTCTTAAGATAGCCCTTCCCATTCAATGTATATATCCTATTTTGAACAAACCACTATTTTGCATTAATCTTCTGTCTTCTAATTTTGAGCTAGATAATGGCTTCATTTCCATGACTGATAATGACTAATCATGTGCCACTAATTGTGCCATGTCAGTATTGACTCTTAGTGACCATACAGACAGATTTTCTCAAGAATGATTTGTCCCCAACTTGTTCCTTTAGATCTTCCAACAATCCCCCCATTGCCACTGTAACTGAATCCATTCACTTTGCTGCTGCTGCTGCTATGTTCTGAAGTAGGATAATTTGAGCCTGGTTGTTTGTACCTGGATTAATCTGATGAATCATTTGTTTGTTTGCTTGGCTATTCACAATATTCTCAGGAGTCTTCTCCAAGATCAGAGTTCAAAAGTAGCAATACTCTTTCTATTCTACTTCTTCAAAGTCCACTTCATCCCCATAACTATATGTAAATAGTCTGCACCATAAATCACCACTAGATTACTAGTTTAATACTTAAAAGGATGGTTAAGTTGTAAGTCATGTTCTGGGAACATCCTTTCCCACTTCCTGAGGCTGGGATACGTATTGTTCAGTTTCCTGTCTTGAAAGCTGGGGAAGGTAATAAAAATCTCAAGAAAAGGTAGAGAAATGCACATATCCCTCTCTCGCCACTCCCCCGTCAGAGTTGCAGAGTTGCAGAGTTGCAAGAATTGAAGTATGTGGACATGTGTTTTATTGGAGTGCTTTGACCAGAGCATCATACAGGAAAATCTGAAACTTTTATAAGAGAATGTGATTACCAAAGAATAAAAATATATGCTAGGATGAATCCAAAATTAATGTATACAAAATAATGTTCAAGTTGCTCTAGGACTAGGCCTATTTTATTCTTACAAGACTGAACATAGAGAACTTGGAGCAAGTGTACTGTTTTCTTTTTCTTCTTTCCAATGTTCTTCTCATCTTCTGCATAACATAATTTCTTGAGTTAGCACAATCTGTCTATGTTTCTGTAGCAGGTTTGATACCATATTTTATTTGGTAATAATTATAAAAGATTTAGTTTAAACACCTTGAAGAGCCACTAAGGAGAGTCTATTCCTTCCTTCCTTCCTT